CCTTCCAGGTCTCACTGTCATTGCCCACGTGAGCATTGAAGTCCCCCAGCAGAACAAGGGAGTCCCCAGCAGGAGTACTCTCCAGCACACCCTCCAAGGACTCCAAAAAGGGTGGGTAGGCTGAGCTGCTGTTTGGTGCATATGCACAAACAACGGTCAGGACCCGTCCCCCCACCCGAAGGCGGAGGGAGGCAACCCTCTCGTCTACCGGTGTGAACCCCAATGTACAGGCACTGAGCCGGGGGGCAATGAGTATGCCCACACCTGCTCTGCGCCTCTCACCGTGAGCAACTCCAGAGTGGAAAAGAGTCGAACCCCTCTCGAGAGAACTGGTACCAGAATCCAGGCTGTGTGTGGAGGCAAGTCCGACTATATCTCGTCAGAATTTCTCTGCCTCACACACAAGCTCGGGCTCCTTCCCTGCCAGAGAGGTGACATTCCATGTCCCAAGACCTAGCTTCTATCGGTGTGGACGAGACCGACCCCTTTGGCCCCTCCCATGGGTGGTGAGCCCATGAGAAGGGGGACCCACGTTGCCTCTTCGGGCTGAGCCCGGCCGGGCCCCATCGGTGTAGGCCCGGCCACCAGGCGCTCGCCAACGAGCCCCACCTCCAGGCCTGGCTCCAGAGGGGGTGACCCGCGTCCGGGCAAGGGAAACTGAGTGCCATTTATTTTAATCATCATAAGGCGTTTGTGAGCCGTGCTTTGTCTGGTCCCTCACCTAGGACCTGTTTGCCCTGGATGACCCTGCCAGGGACATAAAGCCCCATACAACTTAGCTCCTAGGATCATTGGGACACACAAACCCCTCCACCACGGTAAGGTCACGGCTCACGGAGGGGCAAAAAAGGCACAGGCAATAACCTAAATACTAACTTGACAAAGAACAACAAATCAAAATTCAGCGTATCAAATAAACCCAAGAAAACAAACGCACCCGCCACAAATGGAAACATGACCTGACCATGATCCATGACAAGTGACGTCAACAACATCGACACAAACAGAACCAACAAACACCATGAACTAACAAAAATCCAAAAGAAACCAGGGAACTAAATCCAAACAAATTGACATGACAACTGGAAACACGTGGACAAGACAAGAGTGGTTGGAGGGAGCTGATTGGTTTACACAAGGGACTGGGCTGATGAGAAGAGGTGGAAACTAACCAAATGAGCGAGACATGTGAAAGACACACAAGGAATTAAGACAACATGAAAAACAAAATGTATTCTAAACACCAACAAAAAACAGATCATGATACTACCCTAGCTGACTTGTGTTACGAGGCGGCGTATACCCTGAATTAGTCGCCAGCAAGTCGCAGACATTATCATTGTAGATGTGTCATTAGTTTCATTCTTATTACATTTTTGTAGTGAACTGACTGAGAGAAATTATGTGGTTATATTGCCTTACAATGACGCCAGTGGCCTTCCATTTTGACTGAAGTTGCTGAATCAGGATCAATCCCTTTCCCTGCGAAGAGCTGCAATTGTCTTTACTTAAGGCATCCCGGCCTGATAGAAAACCCATCTGGCCTGGCAGTTCAGAAAGACGGAAGATGACATGTTCCTCTTCTCCCATCTGTATTGGAAAACGTCAACCAGCTCTGGCATTGCAGAACTCCGAGTGAGGCGTGAGCAGTGAGGTCAGTGGCTGCTGAAGTACTGGCAGCTTCTACATTGACTTCAGGTTACAATTTGTATCTGATGTGCGCATTTATTTGCACCCGCTGCTTTCCAGCAACTTCGAGTCGCAGAACTTGCAATCAAAATACAGGAATTTATTTTATTTGTGGAATAAAATGGGTATCACACTGCTAATTTCTTTTCAAGCCTAAGTACTTAACCTTTTTATCCCTTTGATGTGAGTAATGCTCTTGTCCAAGTATTAGTGATGTATTAACTAATAAATGACAGCCAGTGGGAGTTTTTTTGTGCGAGAAGTAGTGGTGTATGAGAAACACACCCCCGCCAGCCAGCGGTCGTTTGGGGCTCCCGTTTGTATGGGGCTCGAGCGGCGGTTGACACATTGGCTCAGTGCTGGCAGTTGAGATCACACCTGAGGGGCCAGCGTTGGTCGACCCATTGGTCAGGCATAAGCAGAAAAATCCACCCCAAAAAACCAACCGGCCGATAGGTGAGCCTGGCGGC